AAATAAATTAAACATACATCAAGTTGTTTGAAATCCTTTGAGGAAACAATAAATTCTTGTGTGATTCTTCTTCTTCTTATTTGGCGCTGTAACCGCCTAAGCGATTTTGGCCGAGTTCAACAAAGCACGCCAGTCGTTTCTCTTCTGTGTCAACTGCCTTCTCCACTTGGTCTTTACAACGCAGTGGGAGCCTCCCTTCCTCTGCTACCACCAGCGGGTTCCGAGTTGAATACTTTCAGAGCTGGACCGTCGGAGTTCATTCGAACGACATGGCCAAGCCAGCGGGGCCGCTGTTGTTGTTGTTGTAGCGGCTACTAAGCCCCGTTCGGGGCGGTTCATCCATCAACGTTGTCGTCAATTTCAGCTAGGGGGAGGCCCAGGAAGTGTGCTACTTCCACAAGAGCTGTCCATAGGGACAGGGGCGTTAGCTGAGTGGGGTTCTCAGGGCATGTGAAGAGGTGCCGGGAGTCATGTGGCGACTCTCCACATGCCGGGCATTGGTTGGGCACATCCTCGTTGATTCTGCTCAAGTAGGAGTTGAGCCTGCTGCAATAGCCAGAGCGAAGTTGGGCGGGTCTCCCGAGGCAGACAAAGTTCTGTGGTTGTGTGCCTAGAACGGCATTCACAGGGCGGGAGTTTACATAACTTACCACTATCTCGCTCGCGATCTCGACGGTGCACGTTGTATGCGGCGCAATTCAACAGGGTTGAATTGCAGTGCAAACTCATCTCTTGGACCGCAGCTATTAATATTCCATGCCTTCCCGTAAAGGCAGTTATCTCCTCGATCTTGCTCTGGAGTCCGTTACAGTTAAATTGTAGCACCTTTGTGTGCCTTGGGAGACCGAGTGTGATGTCTGGTGTTAAAGAGTTGTGTTACCTGCCGGCCACCTGCTGNGCGGGAGTTTACATAACTTACCACTATCTCGCTCGCGATCTCGACGGTGCACGTTGTATGCGGCGCAATTCAACAGGGTTGAATTGCAGTGCAAACTCATCTCTTGGACCGCAGCTATTAATATTCCATGCCTTCCCGTAAAGGCAGTTATCTCCTCGATCTTGCTCTGGAGTCCGTTACAGTTAAATTGTAGCACCTTTGTGTGCCTTGGGAGACCGAGTGTGATGTCTGGTGTTAAAGAGTTGTGTTACCTGCCGGCCCCCTGCTGTACGTGCTGTAAAATGTCACTAATGAGCAAACCTTTAATTACTGAATCATGGGCTGTTATAATTTGTAAATTTTTTATTATTTACCTTGGCGCAATAAACAGGTGAAGTAATAAAACAGCTTTCTCGCTTTATTTTCTGACATTCGGCTGCCTTATAGTAAAATTTTAAAGGCCATATTTCAAATAAGGCAGTGTCAAAATCTTTCTTCTCCCTCTAATTACTTCAGCTGGTATAATTACGCCATGATTATTTACCAAGAATTGGGATTCAAGCACAGAAATCAAAAGCTCCTTCCTTGATAAATTATAGTGCTATTGACAAGCGTTTACAAATTGAAATTTCATGTGAAAATTAAAAACTTAAAACTAGATTCTCATAACAGCATAAATTACTTTGTTTCGATCAAATTACTTCACATAAAACAAGTCAGTTCACATTTTCTTTCATAATTCCTATAGCACGTGTGTGGTTTATACTTGATTTCAAAAAACAAATGGTTGCATACCTTTAGGCATTTTTTCAAATTTCTCTAGCTGTGCGGGCTAAAATAAATGAAAAATCTTTTTTTTCTTCAATGGGTTCTTGATTCATGATAAATTATTTCATTTCTATTTAACTTATTAACAGATTTTACAAGTCGGCTACGGCAGTGAAAAACTTTTTTGCTTTCATATTTTTTATATGTCACAATGAAATCAGTCCACCTAATGTTGAAATCGTAGAGCTTTTTATTATTTAAATATTGAAAACACAGAAACAGAAACAAATTATTTATCAAGAAAACACAGAAATGGGCGNATTCTTCGCACTTCACAATTGCTCGTAAAAATTGAGGACCAAAAACCATCTCACCACGTACTCGCAAAACATATTCCTTAATTAATAGCTTGCTATGTAATTCAACATCCAAATTAGGCTCAGTCATATCGGTTTCATTGTTCATACGAACATATTTGCCAATGATATTGGAACTACTTATGTTGCAGCTATTTTCATTTTTCATAATTTTATGGAAATTTTGCTTTACTTCTGCTAGTGAAATGCTGTCTGGATAATCTAAAATTTGCTCCAAACATTTATATTGATAAAATTGGGTTTCCAACTCTTCAAGTTTTTCAATCAGATGTTCGGGACATGGTGTTTTCAGTTCCACATGAGGGCCATGCTCTCCAAATATTTCACCATCCCATGATAACTTGACCAAACTTGCAAGTAATGCGTCAACTTCAGTTTCAAATATATCATATACTTCAGCGGTTTCCAAAATGTCCTGCAAAAATAAAAATTTTTCGAAAATATATACATTAGGGTTAGTTGAAAATTTTATATTTTTCAAACTCTTTTGCAATAGTGAAAGGATTTTGTTTGATGTTGGCATGTAAAATATTTTATCCAGGGAGAAATATTCATTGGCTTTTTATGTAATATTTTATGTAATGTGAAATATTCCAAAAACATGGTCAAGATATTCTTTAAAAACGCTTGATATATGGAATATGTAAAATAAATTCAAAATATTCAAGTAAGGAAAATGTATAAGGCATCAATCGGAAAAGGTACAGGTTTTTGCATAAAAATAATATCTGCATTGGTACGGGCGGCTCCAGTTTATAGGAAAAATATGCATTTACATAAATATCCGATGTCTAACGCAGGTCTTAATCAAAAGAAGGCAATAAAATAATTCATACCTCAGGGATTGAATATACGCTTTTTACCACGTTTATATTAACTCTCTTTCTTGTGTCTGGTAGTTATTTTGCAAATGATTTTTAGCTAACTTCCCATTGATCTAGAGAGTTGAAATTTTAAGCGTAGGTCATATGGGAAAATCTCTGGCATCGTGTGATTCAAAATGGAAAAACCAGTAAATTTTTAAACTGAACGCACAAAAATAAATTAAACATACATCAAGTTGTTTGAAATCCATTGAGGAAACAATAAATTCTTGTGTGATTCTTCTTCTTCTTATTTGGCGCTGTAACCGCCTAAGCGATTTTGGCCGAGTTCAACAAAGCACGCCAGTCGTTTCTCTTCTGTGCCAACTGCCTTCTCCACTTGGTCTTTACAACGCAGTGGGGGCCTCCCTTCCTCTGCTACCACCAGCGGGTTGAATACTTTCAGAGCTGGACCGTCGGAGTTCATTCGAACGACATGGCNTTTTCATGAAGTCAATGAAACAAGGTTCTTACTGACTACTTAAAGCGAATAATTATAAGTTAAATATATTTGAGCTAATTGGAAATAGTACTACTTAATCAAAAAACCGTATATAACAATGAAAGAAAGCGTCTTTAGACAAAGAGAAATCCAAACTGACAGATTTCGAGATCTCATTAAAATCACAAAGTCTTAACTTTATCTGGGTAGAAGGGATAACACTTGCGTAGTGTCCTGAGAGGGACTAGAAAGTGAATCCTTTCAAGCAAAGATGGACAATCAATTGTACCATTAATTATGCTAAAAACGAATGACAGAGAGAGAATCAATCTCCTTGAANCCATTATATCGCTCGCGATCTCGACGGTGCACGTTGTATCCGGCGCAATTCAACAGGGTTGAATTGCCGTGCAACTTCGTCTCTTGGACCGCAGCTATTAATATTCCATGCCTTCCCATAAAGACAGTTATCTCCTCGATCTTGCTCTGGAGTCCGTTACAGTTAAATTGTAGCACCTTTGTGTGCCTTGGGAGACCGAGTGTGATGTCTGGTGTTAAAGAGTTGTGTTACCTGCCGGCCCCCTGCTGTACGTGCTGTAAAAGGGGGTGCTGCCTTGTGGTGGTGGTTGGCAGCGTCGCGGGGGACGGATGCGACGGGGCAGCATACCAGGGGCCCACATAGTCACTCGTCCAATCTCGCGTGTTGCGAAGCCCTGAGCACGCCCTAAAGTGGCACCAGCCGAGGCAAGAGTTGCACTTGACTGATGTCACGTTACGGTATATTTGGACTGACAAAGAGAGCAGATTGTTGGAGGGACTAGGAGTTGCCGGCGGCGGTGTGTGGGTGCTATTGTGTTTTTTTGTGTGTCTATTGTTGTGTGTTGTGTTGGGGTGTGGGTGTGTTGATTGTGTGCTGCCCAGGCGGGTGATGGTTTGCCGTGGAGGCGGTCCGGTTCGCACAGCATGGGGCCACGAACGACGTGGTCCATTGCCGGTGCGTACGTAGGCCCGAGCAGTGACGGAGGTGACTCCACCCGTCACAGGCATTGCACCTGACCGAGGTGGAGTTTCTATGCAGTCGTCTCTGGCATACGCAGCAGGTGTAGATTTCTAGCACTGGGTTTGACTCTATGCCAGCCCTGAGCAGAAGGGTGCGGATAGGGTGTAGCTCTAGAATCGAGCAACGTTTGATGGATTTCGCCGACCTAAATGGGGTTAGATCGCCGAATCAACAGCCCTTGGTAGGGTAAAACCCGAGTCATTCCGGTACGTAGAACCGTCTGTTGTGGGACAGCGGGGCCGCTGTATTTTAATTCGCTGCACTATGTCCATGTCGTTGTAAAGCTCATACAGCTCATCGTTGCATCGTCTGCGGTACTCGCCATCGCCAACGCGTAAAGGCCCGTATATCTTCCGCAAAATATTTCTCTCGAATACTCCAAGAGCCGCCTCATCGGATATTGCTCATGCTTCGGCGCCATATACCAACACGGCCATGATAAGTGACTTATAAAGTGTGGTTTTCGTACGTCGAGATAGGACTTTACTCCTGAATTGCCTACTCATTCCAAAGTAGCACTTGTGTGTAAAAGTAATTCTGCGTTGGATTTCCATGCTGACATTATTATCGGTGTTAATGCTGGTTCCCAAATAAACGAAATTCTCTACTTTCTCCAAATTATAATTTATTTATTTGTTTTTTTCATGAAGTCAATGAAACAAGGTTCTTACTGACTACTTAAAGCGAATAATTATAAGTTAAATATATTTGAGCTAATTGGAAATAGTACTACTTAATCAAAAAACCGTATATAACAATGAAAGAAAGCGTCTTTAGACAAAGAGAAATCCAAACTGACAGATTTCGAGATCTCATTAAAATCACAAAGTCTTAACTTTATCTGGGTAGAAGGGATAACACTTGCGTAGTGTCCTGAGAGGGACTAGAAAGTGAATCCTTTCAAGCAAAGATGGACAATCAATTGTACCATTAATTATGCTAAAAACGAATGACAGAGAGAGAATCAATCTCCTTGAAACAAGTGACTGAAGGTTGATTAAGAGCAGGCGTGAATGATAGGAAGGGATAGGATCAGAAAATTTTAAAGAACGAAGGGCAGATTTTAAGAATACTTTTTGAACCTTTTCAACCCTATTAATAGAAAATTGGAAATAAGGTCGCCAAATAAAAGCAGCATACTCTAACCTAGAACGAACAAAAGTTGTAAAAAGCAATTTGAGCGTATAAGGGTCCGAAAATTTTGAACTGTTTCTTCGAACAAAACCTAGATTGAATATGCCTTAGTCAAAATAAAATTTATGTGACTGTTAAATGAGAAATGCGTATCAAAAATTACTCCAAGGTCCTTAATTTCTACAACAGATTGAAGCACATTATTAGATATTGTGTAAGACGTTTTACATTTAACGAAAGCCCACACATCTCACACCAGAGACACAGCGTATCCAAATCCGTTTGAAGATACTTTGCATCAGTCGAGTCGTTAATCACGGAAAATATTTTTAAGTCGTCGGCGTACAGCAAAAATTTGGGGAACGAGAAACAGCTGCTTATGTCATTAATAAATAAAACGAACAGTAGTGGACCCAAAATGCTTCCTTGAGGAACTCCAGAAGTGGCAATGAAAGGTTCCGAAGAAACGCCATCGATTGTCACCACGCACCGCCTATTGCTTAAGTAGGATTTTATCCATTTAAGAAAAAACAGAGTGAAAGCCCAAAACTGCAAGTTTGTGTAATAAAATTGTATGTGCAACTTTGGGGTTGTTTGAGTTGCAATCACAACCGCAGTGTTGCGCGAATTATTAAAGTATCACGTTCGGTGTGAATTTATAGCAATGTATTATCAGCTGGGCAGTTGCAACAATGTTGCCATTTTTCATCAGTACGGCAGTAATGCCGCTTTTATTACGTGCCTCGAACAGGCCCTTTATCAAACGAAAAATTCGAAAAATCTGTGTAAATACAGTCAACTTGGAGTCCTGCCGATATAGCTGCAATGCAGTATTCACTGAACACTGCTAAATTGGAGACTGTAGAACGTCCAGCAACAAATCCATGCTGATTAGGTGAAAAATGCTCTTAGTAACAAAAAACATCTTCTCTTTGATAATGCTTTCAAACAGTTTGGAGACAGTCGAGAGCTTCGAAATAGGCCTATAATTACAGACGTAATTTTTATTACCGCTTTTAAAAAGCGGAGAAATTGATGTCAGTTTCCAGTCATCAATAAAATTTCCAGAAGACAAAGATTTATTGAAAAGCATTTTCAACGGAGTGGCAATCACCGGACAATAAAAAAAACACACAGCTGAGAGTCCATCAGCATCCGTTTGAGTAGAGGGTTTTAACCTTAGGATTCCTTCTATGATATCATCTGCCAAAATTGATGGACGATAATTTATTAGGTGCGGGAAAACTGACTGAAACATCAGAATCAACCTCATCATGTTGTGCGAAGTTTGCTTTGAAAAAATCAGCAAACAAGTTAGCTACTTCAGTTGGCGTGCTCACAAATTTTTCACCCATCCATACTGCCGATGGAACCCAGGGGGATTTAGCGTAAAGCTAAAATAGCTTTGGGTTAGACTTTATATTTGACTCGATGCTACGCATATAGTTATTGTAAAGAAACTTATCTAAACAATTGAGTTGCTTCTGATACTGCTGGAACTTAGAAAATAAACTTTGGTTGTTGGGTTTTTTGAACTTTTTGTAAAATTTGTTGCGCTGATTCTTAAGCGATTTAAGTTCCCGATTGTACCACGGAAGCTTGCAGAGTCTCCTTTTAATTAAGGCAATATTATCAAGAAACAGCTCATTCAGACGATTTAAAGTTAGAAAAACATAAAGAGACATCGGCATCAAGTAACACTTGCTTCCAATCAATATCAATAAGAAGAGTATTCAGATTTAAAACGTCACAGGAAGCAAAATTAAATGTAATTCTTTCCTCAGGCTTAAGGCTTGCACATACATAAAATTCTGCTTTAAGAACCAGTGGTACATAATGTTTTCCGTAGGCGAGAGTGGGGAAGCACATTGGGAAACGGAAATATTGATGTTATCGCTAACAAAAACAAGATCAAG